TATTCGCAATAGGTTAGGAATGGAATATGAAACATATTACTATGTGTCCAGCTCTTTTAAGATTATGGTGCCCTTTATTTCTTTTTATGTACCTTGTTTTGGAATACTTTTGATGTGTATTCAATTTCAGTTAAATTTATTAAGTATTATATATGTTTTATTAAAAGTACTTAAATCTCAGTGTAGAAAATATTATGTTTACCATAATGTGGCCCATTTTTAAGGCAACATAATTCCCAGGGAGACCAGTCACTTTTATTTGCAGGTACTTGGGACATAACTTGAACACTCGCATAAGTCACATCTTCCTCAGTCATTTTTCTTTTTCTCATGTTTGTAATCCTGGACTACAGAATGATATTTGCTTAAAAATATGTTCACGGAGTTCTTATTCTTGTTTTATTTGGGCTTATTGAATTCACTGTTTTCTACACATAAAAATTTCCTTGGCCTTGTTAGCTTGTTTCTCTTTTCCAAGTTGAGTTAAGGGGGAACCTGAAAATGGACAATGTCAAATTTGATAAATAGACCAAGGAACTTAGCAGACTCTTCTCAGAAGATGATATGCAATTAATCAACAAATACATGAAAAAATTCTCAACATCTCTAACAATTAGAGAGATGCAAAAAAAACTACTCTAAGGTTTCATCTCACTCCAGTAAGAACAGCAGCTATTAAGAACACAAACAACAGGGCTGGGGTTGTGGCTCTGAGATAAAATGCTTGCCTAGCACATGTGAGGCCCTGGGTTCAAACCTCAGCACTACATAAAAATAAATAAATGAAATAAATGTATTATTTCTGACTACAACTAAAAAATATTTTAAAGAATACAATAAGTATTGGTGAGGATGAGTGGGAAAATTTACACTGCTATATTGCTGGTGGGACTGCAATTTGGTGCAGCCATATGGAAAGCAGTATGGAGATTTCTTGGAAAACTTGGAATGGAAGCACCATTTGACCCAGCTATCCCACTCCTTGCACTATATCCCAAAGTCTTAAAAATAGCATACTACAGGAACACAGCCACATCATTGTTTCTAGCAGCACAATTCACAATAGCTAAACTATGGAACCAATCTATATGCCCTTCAGTAGATGAATGGATAAAGAAAATGTGGTATATAAATACATGATAGAACATTACTCAGCAATAAAAGAGAATGACATCATGGCATTTCCAGGTATGTGGATGGAGTTGGCGAATATAAAGCTATTTGAAGTTAGCCAATCCCCCTAAAGCAAATGTCAAATGTTTAATTCTCTGATTTAAGGAGGCAGATTCATAGTGGGGTTGGCAGGGGGAGCATGGGAGAATTCGACAAACTCTAGATAGGGCAACGGGGTGGAAGGGAAAGGGAAGGGGCATGAGGGTAGAAAAGATGGTGAAATGAGATAGACATAATTAACCTAAATACATGTATGAAGACATGAATGGTATGAATATAGTATGCATACAACCAGAGATATGAAAAATTGTGCTCTGTATGTGTAATATGAATTATGATACATTCTGATGTCATACATAACAAATTAAAATTTTCAAAAAATTAAAAAGATTAAAAATAATTTAAAGTTGACTTGTTCCTTCCTCCAATATCTAAATCAAATTTGATATATAAGAGTATGTATAGGGTTGTTGTGGGAGTACAAATATGTAAGGGATGACACACCTGTTGTCAACCTCAAAAGTAGACACTAGAGTAATTTCTAGACAAGATTAAGGCAGCTATGTAGGGCCAAGAGGCATATTGTCAAATTCCAGGACAGAAAAGATGGCCAAAATTACAGCATCCCCTGTCTCCAAAATATATGGAAGATGGCTATAACCAGGCCTGTCTGAGCACCTGATCAAAGTGTGTTGGTATAGTTATTTCAACTCATGAAAATGTCACAGAAAGATGAATGCATCCTCCATGTCATGGGGCCCTTTGAAACACCTGGTAGGAGAATGGAACTCAGCTAATGGGTTGACAAGCAAGTGACCTTACCTCACTTTCTTGGCAATGGAACATGCAGAAGTTGAAATCCAGGTAGTAGGCAACCAGAGCCAGACACAATCCTAATCTGTTCAATTGTTTTGAGTCAGCAAGTACAGAGTCATACATTCATGGCAAATACTAATCTGTGGATTTGCAAAGCAAGGAAAGCACAGAGTAGGGGCCTTTCCTGAGAATGGAGTTGGTGAATTCTCCTGTGTCATGACAATTCTGGTGAGTATGCCCAAAGACATCAGAGCTGAGACAAGTCAGGTACTTGCAGGTGAACATAGTTTAACCCACCAGTCAGATGACACTTGGATAGACACAGAAAATCTCCAGGGGTGTGTGTGTGTGTGTGTGTGTGTGTGTGTGTGAGAGAGAGAGAGAGAGAGAGAGAGAGAGAGAGAGAGAGAGAGAGAGAGAGAGAGAGAGCATGTTTGCACATGTGTATTGATATTTGTGTTTGTATTTCTGTTTGTGTCTCATATTCAGTGTGAAAATGAAGGGAAAGTCATTTGTTACATTTTCATTGATGTTATAGTAGTGAGTCATTTTCCTGCTGGCTACTGTTTTTTTAAGTTGATGTATCCCTCTTAATATATCATACTAGGGAGAAGAAGAGAAAAAAATTGTATCAATGGATGTGTGCTGTCTAGTGGAAACATTCCCAGCACTCATCCTACAAATTTATGAATAACCTACTGCTTGCCTGTGGATAGATAACACCTATAATGTCCATGACTTTATGTATTCCTCCTGAAATTTGGTCAGTACCCTGAAGGATTTCATGGTTTTGATATATATATATATATATATATATATATATATATACATATATATATAATATTTTATATTATATTACAATATAATATTATATACTATATATACAATATTATATAATTATATATAAATATTATATAATTATATATTAACAATACATTATATAATTATATTTTATATATTATATATATACACACATACACACACACACACACACACACACACCACCTCCAAGCCCTGTGAAATGGCAATTTGTTGGCTTGGTGAAAGGAATGTTGAGCATCACTGTGAAACTCAGATATCACTCTGAAAGGTATGGTTTTCATAGGAGGACCTTGCTTGGAAAGAAAGAAATCCAAATAGGATGAACAGTAGAAGTAATTGCCATAGTTTTGGTCATGTGGAAATCTATCAAGGGCATCGGTCTTCCCTATGTTTCTGTTTCCAAAAATGTGAAGAAGTTCTTTGCCTCAACCCTCTCTATTGTGAAGCCTCAGGTAGAGCAGTTTCAAAATTAATGTAGTGGCTGCAGCTGTCACTCAGTAGTAAATTGCTTGCCTTGCACGTGTGAAGCACTAACTTAGATCCTCAGCACAAAGGATATCGTTTGTCCACCTACAACTAAAATTATTTTTTTAATGTGGATTGAGTCTTAACTGCATCTACTAAGACACCTGACATTCAAGAAGTGACAACAGGGACCCTCTAGGTGGAATACGTTTGTCCTCACCCTGAGATACCTAGGACATAGATGGTTGAGTTCTTTTTTTCCTCAAATACACACAAAGAACCTACCATTGGCAGACACTAGGCCTCTAATTTGGGAAGAAGTGCATAGTGCATAGTGCATAGCTTCCCTTATTCTCAGGAATTGTGTCAAGCCCACCATGTTTTTAGGCAAAAGAGGAGCACTGGATTTTATGATTGATACAGTCCTGGACTTCTCTAGGAATGGAAATCTCCAGCCAGATGTTGGTGAGGAGTGGCTACATGGGAGAAGATGAGTGGAATTTGGGCCATGAGGGAGGGTTCTTCTTTGAAATTTGGGTATATGTGTGGTACTTTTAAGACATGGCTGAGTAAACCTGAGGTTCCATGCTGATGTGAATCTCATCAGATACCTGAGTTCTGGGGCTCTCACTATATTACTATTATAGTGAATTGAGGTGGGACTCGAGGTACATAAGCATCAGATGTTTTATTGGAAATTGGAGTTAGGCCCAGTGTAGATTACTCCACAACAGAGGGAATGTTAGGCAGAATTTCACACACATTTATTGGTAGAGCATTGTCTGCCAATGTAGGGAGTCTGATACACACATGTTCCTCCCATTTTATACCCATTGGCCTGACTACATATGACCTCTTGGCTAGTATTTGGGAAGCTCTCCCTGTGTGTATTCTCCAAAGGTTCCAAATAAGAGTCCTCACTACTTTTTTGCCCCTGTCTCAATCCAAACCTTAAATCTATATTTTAAACCTACACAGTGTGCATATTTAAGGGGATGTTGACTTATACATTCAATTACCAATGGTACACTGGCATATGTCATCATATATTGATTTATATGATATATCTGTGCATCCCATAATTTAAAAATATGAATCCAAGTTACACATCTAGTGCCCTTCTGTGTTTTAGATCTTACATATTTTATATATTTTTATAGATATTTGTCATATATACATTCTTATGAATATTCATGTTTTCTAATATCAATTTTATTATTGCATTACAATTACTCCTACCCCAAAACAAAATGTAATGTTCACTCTAACCTTACTCCATTACTTCAATCTAATTTGACAAAAGATCATTTATAGAGTTGATCTTGCAGTACAGGAATGTGGGGTATCATCCACCTGCTGCAAACCTCAGAGGTAGAGACCAGAAAGATCCCTGGGGAATATTAAGGCAGATATGTAGGCCCTGAGAGGCATAATGTCATCTTCCAGGACAAAAAAAAAAAAAAAAAAAAACATGGTCAGAATGAGGTGATATGTCTGAATCAAGTTTTGTCTTCTCAGTCCAGGGAAGATGGACAAAACCAGGCCTGTCTGGGTACTTGATCCTGGGCATGTTGGTGTAACTTTGTCAACTTGTGAAATGTCACAGGAAGATGTGTGCAACCTCCATCTCATGGGGCCCTGGGAATCACCTTGTAAGAGAATGTGGTTGCCAAGGAAATGAACTCACCTCACTTCATTGGCTAAGGAAGTTACCTCACCTCACTTCCTTGGTGATGGAACTCACTGAATTTGGAATCCAGGTAGCTAGGCACCCAGAGCCAGACACAGTCCCAGTCTGCTCACTTGTTTTCAGTCACTAAGGACAGAGACATACTTTCTTGGCATCTACTGATCTGTGGATGGGCAAATGCCAGGAAAGCACTGGGGAGGGGTCTTTCCTGAGAATGAAAGTACTGAATTATCACGGAGTCAGGACAATTCCAGTGAGTTTTCCCAGTATTACCAGAGCTGAAACAGGATAGGCAATTACAGATGAACACAGTTTAACCTACCAGTCAGATGACGCTTTGGATAGAAGCAGACCCTCTCCACTTGTGTGTGTGTATTTTTGTTTTTTTCTCTTATTCCCTGAGAATATGGAGGGAAAACCATTTGTTTGGGTTTTCATTGACTATAGAGTTATGAGTTATTTTGCTGATGGCTACTGTTTGTAGGTTGATATATCCCTTTTAATCTTTCATTCTAGGGAGAAGAGGAAAAATGCATCAGTGGATGTGTCCTGTCTAGTGGAAACCTTCCAAGCACTCATTCTGGCAAATTAATGAATGGACTACTGCTTTCCTTGTGGATGGGGAACACCTACTATGTCCATGATTTTTTTCTATCCCTCTAATTCTTGGCTGCTACCCAGAAGGTGCACATAGGTTCCTGTAAAATATATGTTCCACCTCCAAGTTCTCTGAAGTGGCCATATATTGGCTTGGTGAAGGGAATCCAGAGCATCACTGTGAAATTCAGAAATCACTGTGAAAGGTAAGATCTTCAGAGGAGAGCGCAGCCTGCATATGCTCTACAGAGAAGAAGTCATCCAAGTAGGATGAGCAGTAGGAGTAAATGCTATAGTCTTGGTCCTGTGGAAAACTCTGTGAAGGGCTTTGTTGTTCCCTATTGTTATGTTCCCATGAAAGTGAACAATTTCTTTGCCTCAGGCCTCTCTTTTGTGAAGCCTCAGGAAAAGCTGTTTCAAACGTGAAAGCACTTTTTAGCTTCCCTTGTTCTCAGGAAGTTTGTGAACCCACCGTGCCTTTAGGCAAATGAGGGGCACTGGATATTACATTTGCCAAAGTCCTGGAATTTTCTAGGTGATAAAAGATCCAGCCAGATATTGATGAGGCATGGCTACATGAAAGAAGATGAGTAGACTTTGGGCCATGAGGGAGGGTTCTTGTTTTAAGTGTGGGTATTTGTGTAGTTGTTGTAAGTGATGACAGGGTAAACCTCAGGTTCCACTCTAGTGTGAACCTCAGTGGAGACCTCAGTTGTGGGGCTTACCCAGTAGAGGGATTACAGCGAGTTGTTTGGTATTTTAGGTATCTAAGTCACAAGAGGTATCCTTAAGAACTTACAGCTAGGTCCGGTGTGGATTTCTCCAGAGCACTAGGGATCTCAGCCATGAGTTCACACATTTTTTTCTGTAGAGCCTTGTCAACCAAAGTTGAGAGCCTGATACACACATGTACCTCACATTTTATGCCCATTGGCCTGACTGCATGTGACCTCTTGGCTAGTATTTGGGAAGCTCTCCCTGTGTGTGTTCTCCAGAGGTTCCAACTAAGAGTCCTCAATACTTTTTTGCCCCGTCTCAATCCAAACCCTGCAGGACAACTTACTTCATTCTTGACATATGGCTATACCTTTACCCAAACAGTTTTGAAATTCCCATGGCCAAGAACCACTAGAGCACCTTAGGAACTTCTGTTGCTCATCATGATGGGATAAAAGAAGAACTTTATTGTGAGGAACTCATTAAAATTCTAGGTAACACAGACACCAGTGATTTTGAGCTCTCTGATAATGGGGCCTGTGGCAGATGAGTGAAGGTGTGTGCAAAGAAATCTGTGCAACGGCCATGTGGATCTGGCATTTCCTTCCAAACAGCATGTCACTGACATTATGCAGCAAGCACATCCTCATATGTCAAGGTATTTTGTTGTAGTGGTTCAGGGCTATGCTCAGAATCATGTTTCTACTCTGAATTGGGAAAGGTGTATAGGATAGCAGACAAGATGGTATTTTCTCCTGGAGGCCATGATTCACCATGATTTGCTATAACTCCTTGCACCACCATGTCCCAGTTGAACAACTTCTATTTTCTTGAATCAAATACCAAATTCCCTGTGATGGTTCAAGAACCACCATAAAAACTGGAGGATGTCCCAATGGCTTCACAATCCACATTGGGAGACATTTAGCCCCTAGTAGCAACAGTTCACCTCCAGGAAGAGGATTCATCTCTGCTGCCTTATGTCCACTGGAAAATACAAAAAATGCCTCTGTTTCAACCCAAATTCCACACTACCTCTTACTTCATTCTTGAAATATGGCTATATCTATAGCTTGAAAAATTGGAAATTCCCATAACCTAGAACCACTGGAGCACTTTAGGAGCTTCTTATTGCTCATCATGACTGAATGAGAAGGGGAATTCATTGACAGAAACTCATGAAAATGCTGGAGATTACAGAACCAGTGAGTTTGAGCATGCTGATGATGGGGCCTGGGGCATTGGAGAGGAGGTGTGTGTCAAGAAATCTGTGCCAAAACCATGAGGATGTGGTATTGGCTTCCAAACAGCATGTTTCTCAAATCATGCAGCAAGCAGACCCTCCTAAGTCAAAGCATCCTGTTGTCGAGATTGGATTGGAACTACGCTCAGAATCAGGGTTCTAGTCTGAGTTGGGAACATATATGGGATAGCAGTCAGGCTGATGTTTTCTCCTGCAGATATTGATTCACCACCTGTGATGTAACTATCTTCAGCACTATGTCCCAATTGACCTTTACATTCTTCTTCAAGCAAATATCAAACTTCCTGTGATGGCATTAGAACCATTGTGAAAGCTCGAGGATGGCCCAATGGCTTCACATTGCACACATGAAGACATTAAGCCCCAAGTGGCCAAAGTTCACCTCCAGGAAGAGGATTCAGCTCTCCTGCCTCATGCACATTAAAGAACAGAAAACTATGTCTTTCTCCAGTTCACACAAATGGAGATCCAGCTATGATTATCTTACTGCCAAGGGAGGCAAGGCTCCTGACAACAATACAAATTTCAAGTACCAAAACTTAGAGACAGGCTGTCAAGAAACTATTAGGCCAGCACACCTCCATGTTTGTGGAAGGTTTACCTGTACCTTAATTTTATACGCTTTTCTGCCAACTCCATCATTGTGAGCTTCTCAGCATACCCCATTCCAGATAACCCACCTCAGATATCATTCTTCTCCCTCTCTACTTGTGTTTTATTTGGGGCCATGGAAATTTTATGTCATTGCTTATGATGGCATTTTGGAAATACATTTGCATAGCACATGCTTGCATGACCTTGTAGGAATTTTCTTATTTTATTTATCATTCATGTATTCAATTTCTTACCCTAACCCTAACCCTACTAAATATTGACTACATTTCATAATATTATTGGTAAAACTAAACATAATAGAAAAGAAATACAGCTAAACCAGATGAGGCCTTACATATATTTGGAATTGCCTTTTCCATTTTGATTGTTAGGTGTTACCAAACTAGTCACATATTCATTAAAACACTTATCCATAAGTCCTCAAATTGAAAAAAAAAATGTAGAATATCCTTACTCTCACTACAATGTAGCCTGGGACAGAACACATATTTTCATATACATACATATTTTCATAGATGATTCCACATATATATTCTTATGGTTTCCCTGATGTTGGAAGGTACCAATTCTCTAAGCACAACATTCAGCATCAAGTTGGGCTGGAAATAAAAATTCAACCTAACATGACCTCCATCACAGGACAAGGATTGACATGAAAGCAGTGAAGGTAAATGAATATTTATGTGTACTTTGAAGGTTGTATATTCTATTATCAATGACATGTATCCATATCTATTCATATCTAATAGACTAATAAGTCTATTAGTATAGACTTATGTATATAATGGAGATACAGGGCACAAATTATGCAATATTGAATAGGTGAATAACTCTGTACTCTGACCTGAGTTGATAGTGTGTATTTACATGGACTCTTATGCATACTTTCACAAGCTCATTCCAACAAATATTCATATTTCCTGCTATACATAGTCATTTTCTCATACTCACTCTAACCTCATTCAATATTGAATAGTTACCCTAATTTTGCCACAGTAACTATACCTAATGATATGGATATTGATTTATGCATTCCTTATCATTGGTACATAGCCCTTAATTTAGTTCATATTCAATCTATGATATATCCAATCAACCCCATATTTAAAATTGTGTATACATATGATTGACTTTAAATAATTTCTTGTTTTAGAACACATATATTCATACATGTGTTCTTACTTATTTTCATATGAATATTCTTCTGATCATACATCATATTTAGTAAACACATTCATTTTCTAAGCAAAACCCAAATAAACTCATTATGTGTAATGATTCTTAATGTAACCACAATACTTAGATCTACTTTGAATTTATGCATATTCATGAATATCAGATTGTGTGCATATTTTTATAATATTTTTTAAAGAGAGGGAGAGAGAGAGAGAATATTTTAATATTTATTTTTTAGTTTTTGGTGGACACAACATCTTTATTTTATTTTTATGTGGTGCTGAGGATCAAACCCAGCGCCCTGTGCATGCCAGGTGAGCACACTACCACTTGAGCCACATCCCCAGCCCATTGTGGGCATATTTAAATCACAGTTTCAAATTTCCCTTTTATGTTTGCATGAAAAATATTATGTATTCATCTTAGCATACATACATGCATCAACTGGATAAAAATTGTGATATATAAAACACTCCATATATCTTCCCCTATCGAAAAACTCTAACGTGTACATTTTCCAATATTTGCACAAGTATGGTGAAAAAAAAGACTCATGTTATCTGACATACATCTTCATTTCATAAAAGAAACCTTACTGACACAAAATTCAATATTAATCCTGAACTTTTGTTTGTACCACACCTGAACTTTAAAAGAAATCCTGTATTCCTATGAATGTACATGTGTATGTTGAGCAATCCATTCAATATTCAATGATATTGGTGCCTACAGATTTTGTGTTTTCATAATATTATATATTCTGCCATTCACAATTTAAAAATAGTAATAATCATTTAACTCACCTGATACATTTCTATATCTCAGGACTTACATATTTTTATGTTTTCATACATATTTTCTCATGTTCCTTCTAATGTTTATTCATGTGTGCTAACATTCACATTCAATATCTAACACAACCCCTGTTGCCAAAGAAAATTCAATACAAATCCTCAACTCATTCTTCTTCCTAAATCTACATTGTAAATGTGCCCACTGTGCATATTTTAGTGGATGTTGACTTATACATCCACTTATCAATGTACACTTCCTAGATCATCATATATTGATTCTTAGGATACATTGTGGTGTCAGTGAATTAAAAAATAAGTATCTAAATTGCCCACCTAGTGTCCTTCTATGTTTCATCTCATACATACTTTTATGTTTTCATATCAATTTTTCACCTATACATTCTTATGAATATACATGTTTCCCAATACTGATATTCTTCCTCTCCAATGACTCCTAACCAAAATCCAAATGTCCTGTTAACTCTAACCTTACTTCATTTCCTTAATCAAATTTCATAGAAGAGCATGTATAGAGTTGGGGTTGCAGTACAGGTATTTAGAGGAACTTAGACCTGCTGAGAACCTTAAATGTAGATGTCAGAATGTATCCTGGGGTACATAAATGCAGCTCATCAGCCCT